TTCACAAATAATTTGATAAGTTTATAAAATATATTAGTAAATAATTTAAAAAATAAATAAAATATATATAGTATAAAAATATGATAAATATTAAACTGAATATTATCTAAAAGTTATATTGTTTCAATCGTAATTAGTATCATTAAATTATGAACATTATTTATAAAGGGTATTATAATATGTCTCTTTTAGATTACATTGATAATTTCTCATCTGGTATTACTTATACTAGATGAGATTATAAAGAAGGAGATTTTGGATGATATTCTGAAGATTTTGAATGATATTCTGAAGACTTTGGTTGATACTCTGGAGATTTTAACTTTTTCTCAAATTTATCTAACTTCTTTTCAACTGAATTAATTGTATCAGAAACATTAATCTTTTTCTTTTTTCCTTTTCTGAATATATAGGTTTTAAAATCTTTTAATAACTTAACTTCATCTTTATATATTGAAGAACCTGTATCGTTCAGATTTTTTACCTATAAATATATATCATAATTTGGTTTCAATGTTCGAAACAATTTTTTAAACTTTATCAAAGAACCTTTCTTGTTCAGATTTCCAAGTTTTTGTTTTGCTGGTAATGATTTGTTTACGCTATGTAACAACTTAAAATAATCACATTTTCTTCTAAATTGACATTGAGAAGCATTATGTCGATTATCGTAATTCCAAAGATCTGGTCGAAATTTTCGTTTAGTTGATTTTCTGCCTTCACATTTACAATCAAAAAATTCAAGAAATAGTATTCGTTTAGAATGTTTTAACATATCAAACTTTTCTTTTATATCACGTCTTTCAAACTGAATTATATATGATCTCTCAAAATCTATATTTCAAAATGATATAGCATTTTTGACCACATATAATTCATGAAATACTTTCCACGTAAGTGGAGAGTATTTTGAGAAATTAGTCTTTATATCTTGATTGATCAAAGACATTATTTCTCTTGATATCTGGCTCGAGGAGCTCTGTATCAGTTATTAAATCTTAAGATTCGATGAAGATTTTACATGTTAATTTCCATCCTTTTTATAGATAAATTGTCAGTATCAAAAAAAAAGTTTAAGATTTTTTTGTTTCCTTCGCAAAATATTATTTCCTTCATAATAATTAATTTTTAACAACTAAACATTTTTTTTAAACAATTTACACAACTGATTACTATTTTCCTCTTAAGGATTTATCAAACTATTATGTAACTGATTACAAAAAATCCTCAAATAGATATCCTCTTGAGGATTTATTAAACAATCCTCATGAAGAAAATTATGATAATCCTCTTGAGGATTTCACAAACAATCCTCAAATAGATAGATGTAACTAATCATAAACAATCCTCTTGAAGATCTATCAAATAGTAAATCCTCTTGAGGATTTTTAGATAAAATTTTTATTCGATATTAATAAAATTTTCTAAGATAAATAAAAAATTTTATGCATACATAACAAACAATACGATTATTGAATAAATCTAAAAGTTTATAAAATTTATTTTGTTCAGTAGAAATCATATATTTGTATCTCTTAGATAATGTTGTAATCACATCATCAAGAGCATCATCTCTCTTTCGTTTATGACAATTATTATTTAAAATTTTTACAAGAAATAGATTGAATAAATAAAAACATTTTTGTATCTTTACTTTTTTTTCTTTAAATAAAGATTTTATATTTATACTTAAAATTTTATTAAAATATTTAATATTATACATTTACATGATAAATACAAAAAGTTGTAAAAAAAATTAAAAAAAATTTTGTTCGTCTAAGTGGTATAGCTATTTGTTTAAACTATTAAACAAATATTTAGACCACGTAGATGAACAAAAAATAAATCTTTGACAATATATTTGTCAAATTCAAGATTATATGCCTTTTTAATTTTAGGCATAAAAATTAACTAAAGAATTTAAAAATCTAATCTACTGTTTTTAAATAAGAATGTTTTCTAAGTTCTTCGATTATTTTCTTTATGAAACTCCACCTCCAAGAACTCCAATTCCACCAAAATAACAACCTTAATGTCGAAAAAAAGGTCTTTTAATGGTACTGATTTCTTGATTCGATCTTTTGTGTATTCTCAAGATCTCAAATATACTAATAGGTTTTTTTGTCTTCTAATAGAAGACAAGTTTCCAAGTAAATTTCGTGTATTTGACAAAGTGAATTATCGTTAAAGGGAAATTAAAAATTCTCAAGTTCTTGAGAATGTATAGATTCGATATCTAAATCCATACGAATAAATCTTCTAAGTGAATTTAATTTCACTAAAGAAATAAAATTGGAGTTTTTTTAACTCTAAAGAAAATTAATTTTGTACTAATAAGTTTGCTAGTACTCCAGATCAATAAATAAATCGATCTGGGAAATGTTCATA